TCGGACAGCTGAACTGATCCTCAGCCACTGAAATACTGGCTTCTGCCATTTCAGAGACACATAAAACAGGGGCGCGTTCTTCGTACGTTGCTAACTCTGTTAGCTGGATTTGATTGTTGACAATTTGGCATGATCTTGGATTATTTGGTCCTGGACTTGCTGTCATAGCAACAGGTTCGTAAGCTTAAACCTGTTTGGGAGCAGGCTTATTTCATGTAAACGATTATATTGCCTCTTTTTAAGTGGAATTGATATTTAAAATCTGTCCCAGCCACTGCTACTTTATTACAAGAGTACCCTACTAATCCGGGGACAATCATTTAAAACAATAATATTTTTTTTAATAAAAAATTTATTTTAAAATAATTTTATAATGTTGTGTAATCTATAATACTATAGACACAGCCAGTTTTACTCACTGAAAGATTTATTTGTGATAAAATAATTACTTTATAATTGTACTAGAGTTTTTATGGGAATGGCTTAATGGAGCTCAGGAGATGCAGATAACTTGATCTTAAACCTTAAGAAACTGCGTCACGCGGCTGACACATAATAGTGTAACCCCTCTCTCCCGGGTCCTCACCGCCACATCTCGTTCTCGTTCCGAGTGGGTCTCAAACCCTGGTCTCCGGCATGGGAGGCGGATGCACTAACAAGGAGGCTAAAGACTGCAGCCACTAGTGCGTCTCTTGAGATCAGGGGAGTGAGGTTTACCTGCACAGCACCTACCGCTGGCCTCCGTTACACTAGCATACGCTGTTTACGTTCAGTGGATACTCTCCAAAATGGCACCAGGGTGATGCGGCGGAGACGAATTGTTGAATAGTTGTTATTTTTAATTTCTTTACATACAAAAAGTATTCTCGTTACTTCCTAAAAAAATTACGGTTGAACACCTGATGTCACATGGATTATTTTACTGATCTCCTAGCTACGTTTCTGGACCTTGATCGTGGTAATTACATTGCTGTATATGGGAGGGTCAGAGAGCTCTCAGAATTCATCAAAAATATCTTAATTCGTGTTCTGAAGATGAACAGAGGTCTTACGGGTTTAGAACGACATGAGGGTGAGTAATTAATGGCAGAATTTTCATTTTTGGGTGAACTATCCCTTTAAGTCATTTAATATCACCCTAACTGTATGTATACTACGGAGCCCCTAAAGCAGGGATCCTCAAATCTGGCCCACGAGATCCACTTTCCTGCAGAGTTTAGCTCTAACCCTAATTAAACACACCTGAGCATGCTAATCAATGTCTTCAGGATCATTAGAAAATCATAGGTAGGGGAGTTTGATCAGGCTTGGAGCTAAACTCTGCAGCGCATTGGCCCTCTAGGGCAAGATTTGAGGAACCCTGCCCTAAAGGGACATGTTGGTGGGAGGAAAAAATATTATTATATAATATTGCATTATAATTATATAATATATTATAATATTGCATTCTCTCTCTCATTCTCGCAGGTTGCCCTGCCCTAATTGAACGTGGCTGTACGTGCCCCGTGGTTGCCAGGTGTTTGAGAGACTGTCGCCGTGATTTAGCCAAGTAAGACATGTTCCTGGATCAACATCTTTTGTTGATCCTGGATCAACATAACTGTCCAAAAATATAGACTAAACACAATCCCTACCCCTAAGCCTAACCCTACCCATAATTTATTCCTAAAAACAGTGTAAACTGATAGCTGATTAACAAGGGTGTAGAAGCACCTAACCCTGATTGTAAGCCTAAAACAGATATTTACTGAAAAGTTATCCTTCAATTCTGATTGGTTGATAGGAATGTTGTTCCAGGATCAACAAGGATATTGATCCAGGAACATGTTGTACTTGGTGAAATCACAGTCACCTTTAAGAGACATGTGCAAAACAAGCCTGACTGGTGTGACTCACCAGTATTTAACTGTCGATAATAAAAAACATCCACTAGGTGTCAGTGTGAAATGTTTGAAGAGAATCTTACTTTCTCTCCTGGATTCTGTGTAGAAAATTACATCCTGTTTACATAACATGAAAGCTAAGACTTTGTTTATTCAGACATAACATAGAACACAAAAGGCTCATTACGACTTCAGACTCAAAGTAATGCATCCAATACATTTTTCTTTCTCTTCTTTTATATATATTTTGTATGAAAAAAGAACGGACAAACAAAACTTTAAAATGTTCCAATACGTTAATCTGGTTTGGTTTCTAAATAAGTTATATACATAATCATACAACAGATAGAGCCATTAATAGATCCACAAACCCGAAGGTATAATGCGTGTAGGTCTTTCACTTGCGCTTCTGCAAAGTTCACTTAATTTATCTGTCAGGGATATGGAAGGAGGACCCAATTGCAGTGTGAGTAACAAGGGTTTATTGACAAAACAGATCAATACAAAAGGGTTGTGAGGTGCACAGGTGATACCACAACAGGAACACAGTAAACAGATAGCTAGGGAAGGCCACTGGAACAGCCTCAGACATCAACTGGCAGAATACTATAGCAGCAGAGGAGGCGGCAAGACCAGGCCAGTGGAGAGACCAGAGCAAGGCACCAGAGAGCTGAGCTCAGATACTTATTGACCATAAACTCTGAAGCACCCCAGACGGCAGGCAAGGGAACCAGTGGACAGGAACAGGTCAGGACAGGAACTCTAACACCACAACAAGACAAAACATGGCTCCACAGGAACACAAATTACTCCAAGACAGGCAAATGAATAAACAAAACAAAAGGACTAATAAAACAAAAAGGTTAAAATATTTATTAAATTAACCAACACAAATAACTTAAATATCAACCAAAAAATGTAAACAAAAGATCAGGACTAAGTAGGGCATGGGGCACTATAAATAGGGAGGAAAACACACAAGGACCAGGTGAGCACAATTAGACCAACAAGGCTAACAAGAGGGTGTGGTAAAGAGGAAACAAGGAGGAGGGGCTAGAGAAGCACATGGCTGAGAAGAACAAACTAGGCCATGTGCTGACACAGGACAACAGACACAAGAAACAAACACAAGACAAATGGAGTGTCAGGGCAGAACCCTGACATTATCAGCATTTAGTTTAAATTTTAGTCTAGCTCCGTGTTTAATCTGACTCAAATTTTCAAGTGATCATTAAATTTAGACTGTATTTCTAATTAAAAACTTATCACAAATCTCGATTATGTATTAATTTATATAGTTGATTATTCTGGACATCCCATACTTTCAGTTATTCATTCATTGAATCATTCGTTCAAGGACCCGGTGTCGCATAGAAATTCATTCGGCCGATAGTGAACTCACGGACTGTCACGGGTGCACTGCTGAGCGGAGTCAGGAGCAAGGAACGGAGAGAGACGAGGAGTACATCAATCCAACTGGGTTTAATGAACACAAAGGAACACGGAACACTCACGCAATCACTGTAGACATAGACAATACCGGACACTGGAGCACACACAGGGAACCCTATTTATACACACAGGAGGAGGGGATGACGAGACACACCTGGGAGCAATGAAACATCAAGGGAAACACCTGGGACAAATGAACTTAACTAATCAGGACAGGAACAGGAAATTGCAGAACTCCCGGGCGTACTCGTAGAAGGGGAGATCGAGGCGAGCTAGGGCGGCGACGCGAGCGGCAATTTCCATCGCCGCGGAGGGGAAAAACCAGGAAACAAAAAACTTTTTAAAAAACACGGAAATTAAACACGGGGAAGGGATGCCGCTTACGGTTTGGTCCTGTATTCTGTCACGGGTGCACTGCTGAGCGGAGTCAGGAGCAAGGAACGGAGAGAGACGAGGAGTACATCAATCCAAATGGGTTTAATGAACACAAAGGAACACGGAACACTCACGCAATAACTGTAGACATAGACAATACCGGATTTGCAAAGACGATTGGGTCTGGGCTCGCCTGAGCCAGCGCGATAAACATTAATCGCTCCTCCATTTGGGGACGTGGAGGAATGCACGGGGAAAAAATAAAAATAAAATTCAAAAAACGGAAATCAAACGGGGAGAGGGGGTGCCGCTTACTTTTTAGGTCCGGTATTCTGTCACGGGTGCACTGCTGAGCGGAGTCAGGAGCAAGGAACGGAGAGAGACGAGGAGTACATCAATCCAAATGGGTTTAATGAACACGGGACACTCACGCAATAACTGTAGACATAAACAATACCGGACGCTGGAGCACACACAGGGAACCCTATTTATACACACAGAGCGAGCGGATGACGAGACACACCTGGGAGCAATGAAACATCAAGGGAAACACCTGGGACAAATGAACTTAACTAATCAGGACAGGAACAGGAAACTAACCAAATAAGGGCATAGGAAGGCACATGGGGAGCAAGACACACACAAAACATGGAACAGAGTCTGACACGGACACAAACTCGCCAGTTCTGATCTTGGTCTGAGGATGCAAGGTGATTATAACCTTTAGTAGGCTGCTCTCTGCTTGCACATAACAAAAAGTTTTTTTTTTGTCAGTGATAGTCAGAAATTAGAAGGTCCTGAATGATGTGCCCCATGCTCCATTCACTGGTACTTCTGTATGATCTATCCTGGACACAGATTTGCGGAAACACCAGACTGTACTTTAATCTACTAGAAATAATGATTTCAGGAGAACCCAGAATAAATCAAATATAACATTTTATTTGTCAGGTAAAAATATATCATGCCAATTACATAATTAATCAATGAGAGTCCAATGCAGAATTCAATTCAGTTCCAATTCAGATAAATACATAACATCAACTGCTCAAAGATGAATCTAAGAGTGAGAGATGCATACCCGACAGCAGAGAAACACACAGCAGCATGTGAGAGATTTGGATGCAGAGCTCCAGAGACTCACACACACTGTGTGGGGTTTTTCTGGTTACAGAATCCCCAATGACTGTAATGCCACTTCGCTTACCGTACTGTATATCCAGACCAGAACAAAGAAGTCTTCAAATCAGTTGTAAAAACATAAAAGACCTGTTTGTCATGATCCCGTGACCCAAGGGTCACACCTGGCCGGAGAAGAAAAAACATTCTCACCAGACCCTGAGGGAGACACCCCTCAGCAGCAGAACAGAATTATTCTAAAGTTTTCAATCTTACTCATAATATAATAGACTGCTGTGAAATTGAGACCATTTTACCAATCGCACAGAGACCTACAATGATACTAAACATGACATGAAAAATAACAGATTCACAAGATACATCATATGTGGTATATAGATAGATATTCTTGGTGAACTTTCAGTGAAGTCTGTTGGGGAGGGGGAGGGGGAGAGGGGAGAGGGGGGTCATAAATGAACAAGGAGAGAAGTTAGGGCAAGGTGGTGTCATTTGCTCTTTTTGGAGATCTTTTCTCCAGATTAGTTTTATTGTTTTGTTGCATGGCATCTGTTTTGAGAGAGTTCCTGAATTTTGGCTCCATAAGGAGATCAAAGCTTATACTTATATAATTACTGCCATGTAGTGACATATTTGCACTTATCTCGCAGTTACACTGTTATTAGATTCATCTGATGAGATTATTATTTATTGATTATTCAGTGATTTTATACTACATAACTTTATTGATGACACAGTTTCACTGTTGTTCAGAAATCCAAATCCCAGAATAGAGTGGCTGAGTGAATGTGGTCTGGACTCTCTGGATGAGTGTCATTGGTGTCAGAGACGCTGTAGAAGGATAGAATTCCTGCTCTGTGAGAGAGATCTGATGGGAATCTGATGTAAATAAATACAAATAATCATTTAATGTGATTACTATTTTCTTAGTGACTTACATTGCAAGAACTCATCCCTAGTCTTGGTTTTATTTGTGGGAATAATGTTGATATATGTTACTAAGAAAATAAACACATAATTACAATATTTCTCACTTTTTTATTATGCTTAAGTTTCTTCTACATTGTTACATATTTTTAAAAGTAAATTAATACCTCGACCAAATATCTTTTCTACGGACTCTTAACTCCACCAGTTTTTCTTTCAGTCGAGAGACAGATTTCTCCACATCATAAAGGACAGAACTCACAGTAACACTGATTAGTTCTGTAGATTCTGGAGGTTCAGGGAGACTGAAAGCTCTAGAAAAAAATGAACACAAATATAAAACAATGACAAAAACGTAATTACCTGCTTCCTCCCCACCACCCAGATTGTTTATATACTTCTTTTTCTAAATTAATCTTAAGTGATTCTGTAGCACATCTAGCACCACGGTTTATAATTATGGTCAAATTAGGAAATAACTCTCTCTAATCAAATAACATAACTGCACTGTCTTGTTATTCAGATCTCAGTTACCTGTAGGAAATGGATGTGATCATCAGTGTGTGAAAGCTGCTCCAGGTCAGCGTCTCTCCTCCTCAGATCATCAATCTCCTGCTGCAGTTGCTTCAAGAGTCTTTCAGCTCGCCTCACTTGAGCCTTTTCTCAATCTCTGATCATCTGTGTCACCTCAGAGCAGCTTCTCTTAATGGAGCAGATCAGTTCAATAAAGATCCTCTCACTGTCTGTACTGGCAGAGCGCTGTTACAACACACATAAAGAATCATTCAGTCTAGTCTGTTAGCCACAGTGGGCTTCAACATGACTGCTTTTCTAATATCCAGCATTTATTTTTCTCCTCTGTTAACAACTCACCTTATGAGTCTCCAAAACCTCTTTCAGCTCCCGAAGCACTTTCTCTCTCTCCTGGAACTTTCTCTGTCTGTCTTCCAACAGTTTCTGTTGAACAAATGAGAATATATATATATATATATATATATATGGACACTGTGTTAAACAGCTATGGCTCTATTATATTCTCAAATAAAATAAAGATTTTTTTTTCTTCCCTACCTGTTTCTCTGTCCTTTCTGATGTAGATGATACAGTGATGCGATTTTTATGTTCATCCATCATACACAGTACACTTCTTGTCAGCACGACAGTAAACCTCCAGCAGTTTATCATGTAGAGGGCAGATCATCTTCTGGATTCGTCCAGAGGCATCAGTTATCTCGTGTCATTTACCTGTGCAAAAAGCCTTGTGACACTCAAAGTGAGTTTGACAGTAAGACTCCAGACACTTGATGGCTTTATATTTTCTCCCAGTGCAGACGGCACACTCCACACTCCAGGTTCGGGAGGAGCCTAAACATCCAGTCCGGTCAATCATAGCTATAATACATATAACATACATATAAGCAGCAGTCATTGTTCCGTTCGAGCAACAGTTCTTCCGGCATCCCTCCACCTCCACTTCTCCTCCTCTAATTCCTAATCTTTTTCCTCCACACTGTACCATCATGGGGGGGTTGTTACTCAGAGCTCGAGCCGAGCCTCGGGTTCGAGCCTCCTTCTCGGACAGCAAGCTAAGCTCGTTTACCATTATCTGGCAGGGCTGAATGGGCAAACAAACTCGTGAAATTCTTGTTTAAAGCAGGTCTTTGAGTAAAGGCCTGTCTGCACTGAGGGCAGCTGTAAACTCCCTTCTGATCATCTTGATTCCAGCAGTCTGTGATGCAGTTCATACAGTAACTGTGTCCACAGGGGATGGTCACAGGATCCTTCAGTAGATCCAGACAGATCGGACAGCTGAACTGATCCTGCGCCCATAAAATACTGGCTTCTGCCATTTCATAGACATATAAAACAGCTCTACAATCAAGTATGTTCTGGTGTTCGTTCAACTGAAGATAGAAATGTGTTCTTTATTCTGTGTTTGAGAGCAATGTGCACAAAATAGCTGTGCGTCTAAAATGTATTTTATTGCCAAAAGATGTTAAAGTCTCAATTCCACTCTGTGTGACTCCCTCATTGAAACTCAAAAACCAATAGTTACCAGTTTATAAGTTACATTTAGTAACATTTAGTACATTTGCACGGCTTTGACCAGCGGGTGTCGCTTGTATGCCGCACTCTTCTTCTCCGCTGCTTGACGCATGCATGGAAGCATAGAAGTAATAGAACGTTTCTCACTGATACGAGAGAAGTAACATTATTATGATATTATTATGATACAGTTTCTCATTATTATGAGATATTAAGTCACTATTATGAGAACGTTTCTCATTATTATGGCGTAAAGATTCATATTTTTGACTTAAAGGGTTAGTTCACCCAAAAATGAAAATTAGCCCATAAATTACTCACCCTCAAGTCATCCTAGGTGTATATGACTTTCTTCTTTCTGACGAATTCAGTCGGAGTTATATTAAAAATTGTCTTTGATCTTTCAAGCTGTTTCATGGCACTCAGCGGGTGTTGCATGCTTCAGTCCAAAACAAGTTAAATAAAAAGCGCCCATCCATAAAAAAAAAAGTGTCTCACACGGCTCCGGGGGGTGAACAAAGGCCTTCTGTAGCGAATCGATGCATTTTTGTAAGAAAAATATCCATATTCAAAACGTAATAATAACTTTAATGTAGCTTGTGCTCACTGTTGTAAAGGGAAGCAGTTCCGGGCGGATGACGTATGAG